CACACACACACACACACACACAATGAAAATTATAAAATTTGATAGTTTTAACTTTCCTTTGCAATCCGAGTCCTTTTTACATTTTTCTCATTTTTACTAAAATTTCAATTTTTATTAAATAAAGGTTTCAACATTTGAGTTAAATTATTTGGTAATATAATAGAGATATTAAACAGTAACACTGAATTTTTCCATATTTTTTGAAAGTCTAGAACAGCAAAAAATAATTTGGGCTACACAAAAAAAATCCAGATTTTACAGACGGAGATGATAAATATATGATTGCAGATTGAGGACTAATATATTACAATATATAAGAATTAAAATATCTTAGGTTAAATATCAGTATTACATTTTTTAAGAAAACATAAAAATGTACACATATATAATTAGAAAATTTTTAATAATATAAAAAATTTTTAATAATTCAAAAAATTAGAAATAAAAAATCACAATAGAATAATATAATTATTTTGAACAGTTTTTTTTTTACAGAAGAAATAATAAATAATTGCTTCTCTTAATTTTATCTACGGTTTTTCTTAATTAATTCAAATTATTCGCAAGCTATTCACAGAGGGCAACATTAGATATTCTTAATTTGAAACAGATAACTATTAAAAATCTAGATTACATTTTTAAAATATTTTGATTTTTTGTATACATACATGAGATGTTCTTTTACTTCAAAATAAATAACCACATGCCTGAATTTCAAAGATTATTTTAAAAATCTAATAATTTTATATTACGTTACATAAAATCATAATATTCTTGAAAATATTTTTTCTTTAATTATAGGCGTGGGTATAGTAGGTAAATTACATAGTAAGTAAAGACAATTAAATTAGTCTAGACAATTTTTATAAATACTGAGAAATGTGTGTGTGTGTGTGTGTGTGTGTGTGTGTGTGTGTGTGTGTGTATTCATCAGTTATGTTAATGAGCTTAATAATTGACAAGAGTGCATAAATATGTACATTATATATGTGCTACTTTAAATACCTGTATGTTTAAGTATAGAAATTATAATATATACCGATAATGTACTAATTTGTACTAATGTAGAATATCAATCAAAGTATAAACATGTTGCATCTTCCAATAGTAAAAAAAGAAAGCAAAATCTTATCATATTCAGAGAAAGCAATAGTCACTTACAACGTCCCAGTTGGATTCGATGACACCATCGGGATCCATTCCAGGAGGTCCATCGTATGTGGGTTGTTCACTTTCACTAGGACCATTTTTTGAATCCCCCGGCCATTGATCATCATTTCTGAAATGATATTAGATAGGATATTAGAACAAGTAATAAGAATATACATACAGATAAGATTAACAATATTAAATGTTAAATCATGAGTCACATACTTTTATAAGATAATTAGTAAGTTTTTGACATTGTAAATAAATTGTAAAATATACTTGATATATATTTACAAAATATAAGACTTTAATTTTATTTTCTTGCAATATACATTAATTTCTGATATAGAGAATACATTTTCAACAAAGAGACATCCAAATTTAAAAGGATTAAATTTCTATAGTACAAAACATAAAAAAAAGAAACATAAAATCATGTATTACATTTTTTTATGTCCGTAATAAATAATCGAACTTTACGTAAGAAATTTATAAAGATCTTAATAAAGGTATATTGGTGTATGCATCAGCATTTAAAACTCATTCAGAATTGACAATATCGGTCACGGCGATTAGGCGATGACAAATCACTTTAAATCCACGTGACCTTGAAAACCGAACTTTTAATTCGATCCCACGAAGTACATCGTCTGTCGAGAACTGTACGGTTCGATGGCCATTTTTACGTTTCGCACGGTACAACTGGTACAAGCAAGTCGGCGGAATCGAGCCCGCGTGGAGGCGGCATGAGGATCGTCGTTCGTCGCGCTATAATCGCTCTGACAGTGACTCACGCGGAAGCGTGTTTCAGACGCAAGACGTGTCGGCTGGCGCCGAGGCCAAGGGAGCGTGCGACGACGACGATTGCTATGCGTCCAGCAATGCGCGAGGAGCCTCGGGTGACTGGCGGGTCAGCGCGATTGATTTTTTTTATGTCCTCCCGACACAGAAACCGCGCGAAAAAGCGACATTTCCATTACGTAATTGCACGGCCGGATCGGAGAAAACGTGCTCGCTCGTCGAGCTCGCATACACGGAGCGGACGAGAAAGAGAGCGCTTGCTTCACCCACGCTAACGGCGTCGGAGCGCATGCATGCATGCCGTCGAGTCGCCGTGCTCGCTCGCTTCTATCGTGCCACGCGGTCCTCCGCCGCGATATCGCGACGAGGAGGTTAAGCGGCGGGTCGACGTGGACGGCGTGGATCGTGGCTGTTAATCGCGCTGAGGGCAATGTGACAAAAACGAATGCACGCCATGTTGTCAGTCTCGTGTCCCCCGTGCATCCGTCCGATCGCGGTATACTGTTCTTCGCGGACGTATTTTAATCCGTGTACGCGTAAATTTCGCGACGCGCGCGATCCACGACGGCGTCGGCATCACGGTGATCACGGCGCGCCGCCAGAACGCGAGCGCGGTACGTCGTTACGCTGAAAAAACGTTCAACTTACCTTCGTTCTGCAGTATGCGACATGTTCAACTCGCGAGAGTTCGACAGAAAGGAAGAGCTCGAGTGGCGTCACGAGGAGTATTCTAGAGACTACCACGCTATGGCGCTGCGCACGGTGTTCGGAAAGCACCGGTGTGATGAGTTTTCGGTAGACGTTTAGCTTCGTATCGACGCCGAAATTAACACGTCGATTGGCTCGGTTGCACCGTAATGAATCGTGACAATCAAATCAGAATTTTTCTCGCAAATGTAAGTGATTTTAAAGTTATTCCACTTGCCGATTGTTATCGCGCATGACGGAAATGACATTGCTATTCTGGCGCTTTATAGCGCTCCGAAATCGTCGTGGTGGGATCTTATCGTGGGAAATATGAACGATTAAAATAGCACACAAAATTATAATTATAATGCGTTAATGTAGAATTATATTGTAATCATAATTAGTCATTAAAAAATATGAGTTTATTATTTTATAATTAATACATGTAAGTCTCTTACATGTATAACAATACAAACGTTTATCTTGTACAATATGTACAAACTTAGATATTATGATCTTTATTCAGCTGCTCTTAATTAATTAATTTAGGTTTCAAATACACATTTAAATCTCAGAGTATTATGTTCTAAAACTATGGAATGCCTATTTAAATATATATGACCATTAGAGTTTCAATTTGTCTAATTTGGAAACAATTTTTTATAAAGAAAATATTTAAAAAATTTAATTGAACTTTGCAAATTAAAACTGTAGATAAAAAAATTAAAATAAAAAATAACAGCTTAAAAAGTTAATCGTAAAATGTAATTTACTTGTTTTGTTTTCATAGGTTTTTTTACTATTCGAAAATTAACTCGCGAAACACATTATAACTTCTATATAAAAAGTACCCATGGAAGCCTTAAAAGTATTATACGGAAACTATAAATATAATTGACATTTTTATTAAAACAAAATCGATTCTGTAAATAGATCAATAATTTGTAGAAAAAAAGAATACTTGTTATCTTAAAATATTCGTATGCGTACATTTACAAAACTTTATACATATATTATATAGAATTTTTATATCTATACATGCATTTATTAAAATAATCTATTATAGGAAAAATATATATACTAAGAAAATGAGTAATAAAATTATATTTTAATCAGTGCATACCTTATATATTTTAAGTAAATTATTTGTTACTTCTATTGAAATGCATAATTTCCTTTGTCTGTAATTTATATTGAATTTTTGATCAATTCATAGCTTCATGTAAATTTGTATTTAAATGGTTTGTATTATGATTTGTGTGAAACAACAATTTCACAAAGTTGTTTGTACTTATGTCTGCAGGTATTTCTAGATAATCGGTTTAATTATATAAAAGCACAACCAAGAATTAAGAGCAATATCGCAATTGGAAAAATCATGTACGCGCCCATTCGTGGCTGACAAATAGAAATTAGTATGCCAGCGTCGTCCATTTCATTATGCTCTATACCGTCCTTAGTTGGTATTTCGACAATTACCCTATCCGCTGACAACGGGTTTATACGAAATGAGCATTTAGTTTGATTAATACATGACTTAGTCACATTTTCATATTGAAAAGTCGGTTTATATATATCAAAAATCGCATAAATATCATTGGACACAATATCGTTATCACTATAAAAAATATAATAATAATAACCATCTTGTTCCACATGGTGATTTGCCTGTATGTGTTTACTATTAAGCAAATAGGAAATGTTAGTACATTGATCTGAAGGTTGAAATTCATGAGCTAACAATATTTCACCATTGTAACAATTTAATAAATCAGTTTCAAAACTGGAAATAGATGACTCTTCGTTAGAATCAGATGTATAGTTTTTGTCAGCATTTCCACCATGTTTAATACCTTGATCTAATAAGGATGGTGGCTTTATGAGTTCTCTACTTCTTTTAAGTCTTTTGGTATCCATTTCATCTCTCTCTTTTATTTCTTGTTCCTTTCTGTCATTAATTATATCTGAATTTAATGTTTCTTGTAATTTTTGTATTCGCATTTTTTTATTGTAATTATAGACTCCTTTTCTTCTTTGCTTTGTTCTTTTATTTTTATTTATATTCAACATATGACGTTTAGTATGTCTTCCTTTTCTAGTGTTATTATTCATACTTTCTTGCTGATCACCTACATATTTATCAAGATAAGACGTTGTAGTATGATACAATGTCTCTAAATGTTCTAAACTCTTCATATATGCTCGTGTGTCATTTTCTAGATTTGTTTCGGAAATTCTTTCATTTTCAGAATTTGTATTTACAGCTGATTTATCTACGTCATTGATATTGTGTGTAGGTTTAGTAAGTTCAATTGTGGTTGTTTCTTTAGAATCAATTTCTTGTGCATTTGATTCATATATTATTTTAACTTGTTTGTTCGCACCTGGAAAGAAAATTTCTTGCGACTGCTTATTAATATTGTGTTCCAGCAGGCCACAAGTACGTAGATTTTTCTGTCCTTTCACTACCAATATGGAAGCTCCTTCGAATCTGAAAATATTTTAATTTCTTTTATATATGTGGTATCCCATAAATAAATAAAATTCAAAGATTTATATTAATAGATTATGTCTCTATAAATCATAAAAAAAATATATTTCGTTCAATTTTCTTTACCTTGAACACACAGAAAGCACTACAGTTGCACTTTTTAATAAATAAAATCCCCAGTATTCCAATGTATCATCTGGTAAATTCATGCTCTTTTTAAGTCTTATATGTTTTCGTTTTGATGCTATCTCTGGTCGATGAGTCATTTGGAAAGCATTAAAAGTGCCATTCATTTTTAAAGTATGTTCCTATTAAAACAAGACATTCTTTAAATTAATTTACACTTTGTTTATGAAACATGACAACAAAATACCAAATTAAGAAAAGATTAAATACTAGATTAAAAGGACATATCTTCTTAAATAACAATTATAAGTATTGATTCATACTTTCTTGGTATATATAATATATGTAGATATTTAATAAAATTTTAGATTAATTTTATCTATATTAATATTTGAGTAAACGATATACATGCACAATTTTAAAGAAATGATAACGTTAAATATTAGATATTTACTTTTCTTTTCTTACCGAACAAAATATTGTTGAAATCCCATCGTTGATTTCTATAATATCGGATTCTGTTACAGCATATGCAACATCAGCATAAAAAATATGCCGTAGATACAAAGGAATTATTATAAGTAGGAATGGCAGAACAGCTGTCAACATGCACAAAATTATCAATCTTCTTACAACATCCATTTCTGCTATGCCTATTAAACAAAATTGACAATATTATATATCATTAACGTTACTTGAAATATTAATGAGCTGAATTACTTATATATATATATATATATGTATTACATTGTCTTTTTTAAATTGATGATACTCTATAGATTATATATATTTAACTATTTCTCAAAATATAAAATCTTAAAAAAATTAATATTAAAATTATAATATAATAAAACAAGCAATATATTTATATCTAAATATTTCATATAAATACTTGTTATATAATTATTTCTAAATGTTTTTCTGTTTCTGATTAATATTATAAATTTGAGTATTAAAAAAATGATAAACACTTGAAAGTATATATTAATACATATTTTTATATACATTTAGAAAAAAAAATATATATATATATAAATTCTATGAGTGGCATTAAAATTATTATCATATATTATTATACTCAGTACAAAAATAAATAAAATGATTTTTAAAAAATCACCTTTCTACACACTCTCCAAATTACTATTAAGATTATAAATAAAAACACTTTTATTCGTTTTAGAGGTTATGTTTTCTAATTTATTTAATAAAAAATATAAGCTTTGTTCACATATATAAGTATCAATAATTATAATACTTATAATCTTAGTATATACAATACATCATTCAATAAGTTTTAAGTGTGCTTACAATTACAAGTTAATGGTACAGGCCTTTTTTATATCATCCGATCCTCTTTTAAAAAAAAATAATTATCCGTAGCCACCGTTTCATTATTTAGAGAATTTCGATATTCTGGGATTGGTTTATTTTTAACCAAATACTAATTGAATTTATTTAACAAAAGAGGTTAGGCATTAATGAAAACTGCAGATAGAAACTGGATTCTATTGACAGTCTGATAAGGAAAATACATGATTAGGATTCGACCAATGTCGTAGCTGACTCGCCTGTTATACTGATACACGAATGACATTTTTTAAATGCGTAGATAATTACAATACTTGTAGAAACTAATATATCGAATCGATACTTTTAATAAGACATTTCTTCTAGCCTATTCAGAATTAACGTTCTTCAACGAAAAACGAATCGAGGAAAGATAATTATTCCAATTAAGATTGAATATTTCTTTTTGTAATTACATTATGTAAATTAAAATTCTATTAAAATTAAATTTATCATTCTTCTTCTACTCTTCATTCTTTTCTAGATTTTATTATTAAAGACGCTGTATATCAACCTTAATATCTTTTTTACATGTAAATTCGATTTTTATGTATAAATTTGTTAATACAATGAATTTAGCTCTATAACTTCTTATCCTCTAATATAAGAAATTATATAATAATATTTCAATATTTGTAACTGTTTTATGAACACATAGTTTCTCTAAAAAATTTTCTTAGCATTTCCTGATTCTATATTTTTTTAAATATTTGCGCTTACCCTTTCTACACTTTCTCTTTCCTCTCTCATTTGTCGGGAAAAAGATTTTCTAGTTTACATTGAAATCTCTTAAAAGAACCAATAATATTTCTATTACTAATGATTAAATTTCCGGAATTCAACCGTTGAACGATAGAAGATTTGTAATAACTTTAAATCTCAATCTGAACTTGTAAAATATTTTTATACATGAACAAGTATTTATGAGCACTCAAATCATTAAATGATAAAATGTTCATTAATGTAAAATAAAAAATTACATAAAATAGAGATTAAAATATTCTTTAATTTTTTGGGTCTATTTAAATTATATTTTAAGAAAATCTGAAGATATACATAATATGTAAAACATTAAACAAAACAAAATAAAGAGC